TTCAGAATGTCAATAAAACGAGATTTGAGTTGTGGTCCCGAAGTAGCCGAACTACAACTGCTCTGATTTCTCGTACCAGACGAGAATATGTAGGCATAGGATGCGATATCCTAGCGAGCACACTAACAACTGACTTTCTATTCTCTCGCTGCTGTGCGATCGAGACTTTCCCGCTGACGACTGATCGTAACCCTTTTTCTCTCTTGCTCGAGGGCATTTGAGACCAAGCCATAGTTTTGCCCATAGGTTCCCGTACCTTTGAAACCAGTTTATTTTCTCACTGCTGTGTGAGAATACCCCTGTTTAGCCGTAGTTAGCCTGAACTACGTAAAGCTCTGATCTTCCCTGCAGTACGGAAGTACGTAGGCACAAGACGCGAAGTCTTGGCGAGCCATTTCCCTGTAGTCCCGAACTACGTTGACTCTGACTTTCTCTCTTGAGAATACGTAGGCATAGAGCGCGATGCTCTATCGAGTCAATTCCCTTCTGTTTAAATTTAGCAGCCGTAGATAGATTGTTTTTGCATCCTTTAGACAACCCAAGCAAGCGTGGATCCCGTCGAGTACGACGGACGTGAGGGGTGCTAATACCTTCCCCTTGCGTAACCGACTCCCGAACCCAGGTTTTGGTTGCGATGACCATACCTTTCCCCGTTTTTTGCGAGGTTTACTTCGAGCGTTTCCTTTCCCTCCGTTGGGATAAATAACGCACGGTGGCGACTCTTCTGTCAGCCGGTGCCGATTTTCGCAGTAGCGACATACAGCTGCCAGTTTAAGTTAATCCTGGTCTGTCACAGGTTTGCTGCTTCAATTGCATTTACGGAAGTTGGTCACAAAGTGATGTTTAACCTGTGGCTGGTCCGCATAATGATTTGCAGCGAGAGCTGCGATACGGCACGTGTTACATGCCTCATCCTTGTTGCCTTAGTATCTTGCTCACAGTTTCCATTTAATAATGTTTCCTTTCATTGCGACTTGTGAGATGTGGCGGTTTCGACCATGTTGCTGACAGGTAGCCCTCTTTTGACTTAACAGGTTATTTCCTCTTACCTTCTGTGAATACCTTGAATGCGTAGCTGGGTAGAACCTGTTCTGCGTAATACCTACGTTTCGTCTCAGGTGCTTTTATCGAAAACATGCCAATTTGGTCTTACATCATTATACTTTGAAGAATTTTATTGTTATTATGTCTGATGGATGATTTCTGTGAAGCAGGCAAGGTGTGAGCACCATACTCGTAGCTACCATCGTGTTTTACTTACCTCAGATTAGTATGGTCGAGACAATTGGCTTGTTTTTCCTACCAAGAGAGGAACAATGATGGCCTCTCCTTAGCCACGATATGCTTCTTTCAGTTCAAAATCTGTTTTATTGATCTTCACAACTTCCTCAGTTGATTCTCTTAATTTTTCACATTCTAATATGGTTAAGAATTAACATAATATCCTACATTGTCTTACTCAGGCAGCTCTACATAAGTTTCACTATATACCTTAACCGAGTCTCCATGTGATACAATCTCAACCCGAGGTGCTGCTAGCTCAAAGAAACAATACCATTGAATGCAAGTGCTTCATTTCTGCGCCGACTGAATTTCTAATGCGGGTTTGGTCTTGATACCTGAAGCATGCTTCCCAGCTTACTCCAACTTCCGGTAATGCTGACCGACCATCTCAGGTGTAATAGTTAGCCTTGTTTCTAATTTTTCCATGCATACATATTCTCTTGTAACCTGCTGTTGTTTATTTCCCCTAATATGTCGTTTCGATTTTGACAGTTTTGATGTCGTACATGATCTACATTCTGGCGAAGGGCTTTGAAGGGTGTATGAATGCAGCTGCCGACAATTCCATTCGAAAACCGGTTGAGAGATGCGTTGAGACTTCTTTTATTCGGCAGGACACGATATAGCTGCTGTTGCGCCCTGTTCTAGTCTTGTCCACTTTTCTGTTTTTTTTAAAACTTGTAGGGACCCTCACGGTGGTTGGTATTTGGTGCGTTGTGGATGTACGAATTTCCGGCTGTTTTGTGTTGTACATTGCGGGTACAAGTTTTAGAAGTTGCAGGAAATTTTAGTGAGAAAGAAAAAAAGAAGGTTAATGCAACTCAATGGATTATGCGCTCCGCACTGTGACGGTCGTATTTTCAGGAGTAGGCAAGCAAGGTTATTGGGCTGTTGTACTGTCGGTGATTTGTCTTATGCGAACAACCCTTGTGTAAATTTGAAAATGTTTTTTTTCTTTAATTTAAAACCAGCTCTCCTTGTCACTTTGTGTATGGCTTCCTTGTCATGTGAAATAAGTTTGGACATCAGTTTTCGAGGGATGGTAATCACTAAAGATAAAAACAAATGAATTGATGATAGTATCTTTAGACTCGTTCTCGTGTAGGCCACCATCTCGTGAACATCATGACACGGATTTCTCTCTGAACTAACCTCACAATATAACCTATTAAAGGACATTTCTCATGCTTGAAACAACTATATGACATGTGAAGCACACGACTTGCATTTGTAACTTGATTGGAATAACATCTTTGAATTCACAAATAACTCGATGATGAAATTCCTATATGAATTCAAAAGCCAAAGTCCTCTTCACTTAACTTCTCACTTGAAAATGAATGACACTCGAATGAGCCCAGAAAAAGTCATAATTCCAAATTGGCCGTGAATAAAATTGAAAGAAACACAATAATAAATCCACGTTCAAACTTGAGATTAAATAGGGAGTGAAATCGCATTGCCATGAACCAAAACCTCATTGCCTTGAAACCAAGGGATAATGCCTTCAAATATGCACTGTATTGAAAAAAATCTGCAAAAATTAGCTTCAACCAGGTGGCCTGAACCATTCCTCATTCAACATTGTCCACACGTCTATCCTGACATCCTCGAGTGAAAATAACAACATATTTTTGGACTTTTTGAATAAAGGGGTATGACACGGGCTAAGTTCAAATACCTTAATTTGACGACATTTCTTTAGTACTTCACAAATACCTTGAGATATCTTATCATAATAACTTAAATCAAGTAGTTGCAAATTGGGGAAAATAGAAGCAAATATTATAACGCTTTCATCACTTAGCCATGTATTGTTAGCCAAACATAGAGTCTCTAATTGAGGGCTTAGAACCATTAAAGAATTAGAATTATCCATGCTCTTTTCCCACCAACGTGGATATGGGCATTCCATTTTGATATTGCTAAGTGAAGGAAAACTCCTAAGGATGACAAACAAATTTGAACAATTGTCTGTTTTATTGGTAAAATGTAAAGATCTAAAATTTGGTCTCTCACGGAGAGCAGAAACAATACCAACATTGGTGATGTTAAGACAATCATATATGATGGCCTCTTGAAGAAACTTGCAGTTGTAGAACAAGTGGAAAAGACATTCGTCGGTCATGTAACGATGACTAGAGAGATTAATCTTGCCAAGTTTGGAAAGTGCCAACGAAAGAGTATTTATCCCATCAATGAAGTTATCTTCAGAGTTGAATGTTGCAATTGTACCGAGATTGAGTTCTTCGAGCAAAGGAAAAAAATCGACAATTAGTAACATGTCAGAGCTCTTTATAGAATTCATCTGGGAACAATTGAGAGATGTCAAAGTTGTAACATTTTCAGAGAAAGCTCGCAACCCATTTGCAGGAATGATGTTTTGGCTGGAGAGATCGAGGGATTTGAGTTTCAAAGAGAAACTAGAGATTTGATGAAGAAACGCGTTGCGATCACCGTTGAAGGCATTGGGATCACGGTAGAAGGAACGGTTGAGTTTGAGGGATGTGATATTGGGAAATCTCTGAAATAGAAGATGGATGAACGAAAGTATTTTTGAGCCAACAGCGGCGGAGAATCGGAGACGGTTGGTGATGGAGAGGAACTGATTGGAAACTAGGGAGAGAGAGTTGAGGTAGCAATTGTATTCGTCGACTTCATGGTTGTTGAGGAATTTGAAAACACATTCCCAACAGTCATCAGGTAAATATAGATCTCCCGCCGCCATTATGTTTTCCGGTACATGTTAGTCCGGCCGACCACGATAATGGTAGTAGCGCGATTAAGGATGGACAGATTTTAGGGCTTACGCCATTAGGAGTTAGGTTGGAAAGATTGAATATATATATATATATATATATATATATATATATATATATATATATATATATATATATATATATATATATATATATATATATATATATATATATATATATATATATATATATATATATATATATATATATATATATATATATATATATATATATATATATATATATATATATATATATATATATATATATATATATATATATATATATATATATATATATATATATATATATATATATATATTAATTCATAGATTTCAAAATTTAATTTATTAAAACAAAATCTATTATACCCATAAATAAATCAAAAATATATTTATTTAAATGAAAAAAAAATTTGTAACCAGTGATTTTGGATAAATATTAACCTCAACCCATTCTATTTAAGGCATCAAGAAAAGATAAAATTAAGAGTGAAGAAGAAAATAGATGACTAAAAATACTACTAACCGGAATTCCGTTTTATGAGTTTTAACTTTAATTATATCTATCTAAATAAAAAGTCATTTAAATTATTAATTAATTTCATATCATTTAAAAAATAAATTAAAAAAGTTTAAGAGCTTAATTGTTAATTTATTTATTTAAACATAAATTAATACAAAATTTAATAATATATATTGTTACTTTTGAAAATACTTTATCCAAGTTCTACCTTAAACCTTCGGTTGTATTAGACCAGCCTATTAGGGATACAAAGACATGCAAAATTAGTTTTAACCCTATCATACAATAAAAAATAGAGTATTTAAAATTTATTTTTTAAGAATTGTTTTGGAATGTAAGATTATTGAAAGAGTTTTGTTTTTAGAAAAATAGGTTATTTAACTAAAAAATGAAAAATTTTATTTAGATAAAAAAATTTAAAAATTATATTTGTTAGATAGAAAAGCCTAAAATTTGGTGGTAGTTGAGGGATGTGATATTGGGAAATCTATGAAATAAAAAATGGATGAACGAGAGTATTTTTGAGCCAATAGCGGCGGAGAATCGGAGACGGTTGGTGATGGAGAGGAACTGTTTGGAAACTAGGGAGAGAGAGTTGAGGTAGCGGTTGTATTTGTCGTCTTCATGGTTGTTGAGGAATTTGATGAGACATTCCCAACAGCGATCAGGTAAATATAGATCTCCTGCCGCCATTATGTTTTCCGGTGCATGTTACTCCGTCCGACGACGATAATGGTAGTAGCGCGATTAAGAATGGACAGATTTTAGGGCTTACGTCATTAGGAGTTAGGTTGGAAAGATTGAATATATATATATATATATATATATATATATATATATATATATATATATATATATATATATATATATATATATATATATATATATATATATATATATATATATATATATATATATATATATATTCATAGATTTCAAAATTTAATTTATTAAAACAAAATCTATTATACCCATAAATAAATTAAAAATATATTTGAAATCACTTTGGGAGGAGCATGCATATTGAGATGTGGTTTTACTACTCAAGGAGCTTGTTAGTGAAGGAAATTGTTAGTGAAGGAAAGTTAAGATTGAGATATTGTAGAGGTGAAGGAAAGTTAAGATTGAGATATTGTAGAAGTGAAGACCAAGTGATTGATTTCTTGACTAAGGGAGTGACAAATGATGTGTTCAAAAGGTTGAAGATGAACATGGGTATGGAAAATTTGAAGTACTTGAATTAAGGTGGTGCTTTAAGAATTTTTAAGTAATTCAAGTGTTGTTACCGATCAACACGGGTGTGTAACCGATTAAAAGGTGTCAAAGAAAGTATTTCTAAAGTTGGTGTAATCAGTTATGCATCGGCAATAACTGATTACCACTGTTAGTTAATTTCAGTTTGTTTCAGTTGTAACCGATTACAAATTTTGTATAACCGCTTACCTGTCAGAGTTTTTGGCTTTTCTATTGTTGTTTTGTATTCCAATCACATGTATAAATTTCTTGGAGACATCTTTTATCTATGTTAATGAAATGTGAAAATATTGTTACCCACAATCAATTTTTCTCTCTCAATTTCTCTCTTCCTCTCCCATTCTAATTTATCCATTATTCAGTGTGCTTTCAAGTTCTAACAGTAACAAAATCATCAAAACTCAGCAAATAAACGGTGGATTCCCTGCCAATCACTGTGAAGGAGAAATCAATAGCTGATGAGAATCCGAAGATGACGCGGTTGCAGAGTTGTGCTCGCCGTAGAAAATTATTTTGAGAGCAACATTGAAGCTCTAATCCATCTTTCAATCTCGTCTTCAAGATCCTTCCACAGCATATTGTGAACTTCGTCCATGCTTAACTTATATGCATTAGGAAATTGTTTAAGCATTCTGTATGACAATTGTTTTACACATCAGAAAAATCTTTCTCAAATCCAGCATTTATCATAATCTTTGATGTTTCCTCAAGGCCTTTGATGGTTTTTTGCTTCAGTGCATCCATCAAGAGGTTAGGGTCGGTCACCCTCAATTCAGAGTATTCTTCAACATAATTTTTTATATGTTCCAAAAGCATTTGAATGAAATTTGAATTTTCGTGCTGAAGCGCAGTCATAAAACTCTGGAGTTGTTCCATCATACTACTAATATGAGCTGTGATCACCAATTGTGGCGAACCAATGCTACTGTTATTGCTAGCACTAGCAATATCAGTACTGGTGAGTTGTAGAAAATCCATAGAAAGAACCACTGAATTTCCATCTTGGAGGTGAGAGTACTGATTATTTACTCCAAGAATGAATAGCTGCAATTTAATCTTCATGAGTTGGACAATTAGACATCCGAGGAAGAAGTAGAGAAGATCGATTTCAAATCCGCACTGAGTTTGCCTAGACAGGCTGCATCAGCCATCTCCAAATTTGAATTAGAATATGCATCATCTTTTCTCAATTTTGTAAGAATAAAGAAGACCAATTTCGAATCCCCACTGGGTTTGTCAGAACAAACTCTGACAAACTCAGCAACATGATAGCAAAGGAAGCACAAGAAAGTGGAGACTATATGAGACCAACATATGAAATTTCGAAGAAAAGGACCAAACCTGCTTATTGTATGAATTGTATACACAGTTCCAATACTTTAGATATTCTGGTGAGATAAGTTTTCCATCAATTCTCTCCACATGTTTAATCTAAGCCTTAGAATTGATTTCATATATTTTCAATTATTTATGGCTCATGCCTGCCTCTTTGATTTATGACTTTCCAATGAGTTACGAGGAAAGTTCCAACCCAACCCAAGAAAAGTCTCACGGTTAACAGTTCCGTCGATGACGGTCCTACTCTTTTAGTCTCTATTTATCAATTAATGATAATTGTTTCAAAACTAAGAAAAATCATGATTATAATTAAACAAGGACGAAGGGAGCAATCACATCATTGACGGAGCAGTTGATTTGGATATGGTTTTTTTTCTTGGGCTGCATTGGATTTGAAATAGATGGTGCTGCCAAAAGTATGGAGATTTATAAGCTTTGCCTCAACTTCTGTTGGACTCATCTCTTATGCTCTAAGTTCTTCTTTCAACTATATCTTTCGATATTGGAATCTGTTGAATATTTTCCTTTACTGCCTTTTCAACTTCATCATCTGTTTTTGTGATTTTATTTGTAAAATTGTTACAACACTCCACAAGTCTTTGTGTGTAACGAATTTTTACTCCCTTGACACAACATGATGCATATTTTAACCCAATTTTGGAGATTAGTGTTGCAGCCAAAGGTGTGGAGACTCGTTGGCTTTGCTTCAGCCGTTGTTGGACTGCTATGTTATGCTCTAAGCTCTTCCTTCAACCATCTTTTTGGAAATTGGAATTTGTGGAAGATTATTCTGTATACTGTTTTCAGCTTCATCATCAGCCTCATGATTTTGTATGCAAATATATGGAAGTCATCTACAAGTCTCCGATTCAAAGCTCATGCAGCTTTCCTCGTATTGACAATCACTTCTGTCTATTCCTTTTTCTTTGATAAAGTAGTGAATGGGAAACCAGATGCATACAGTCTCATTTCATGTGCTTCCTTTGCGATCATGTCACTCAGTTTGTCGCGGCAAACTCATTGCGGAGTTGAAATTGATCTTCTCTACTTCTTCCTTGGATGTCTAATTGTGCAGCTCTTGAAGATTAGCTTGCAGTTACTCATTCTTGGAGCAGGTTTCAGCTACTCCCTTATTATTCTTCGTTCTTCCTTCTCTTCAATAGATGATGCAATAGAAAATGAGTATTTTTACCTGCAAGATGAAAATTCAGTTGTCCTTAAATTGGATTCATTGCTACTGCAACAACTTAAAACTTGTATGACGGAAATTGAAGAGGAGAATTTGAATCTCATAGACAGGCTTATGGAGCTGGTGAAGGAATACAATCAAGATAAGAGTGAATTACATTTACTTGATAAGTGTGATTATGTAATGGATACTTTGTCATCAAGAAAGATCCATAATCTTAATGAAATTGTGAAGTTGATGATAGCAGCTGGTTATAAGAAAGAGTGCTATGATGTGTATAGCAGTTGGCGCAGGGTATTCTTGCAGGAGTGTCTCATAAACAAAATATTTGGTTTGCGAACTACAAACATCAATATTACCATGGATGAGTATGAGACAGAGCAATATTTAGATACCATGTTTGAGTATGAGACAGAGCAATATTTAGATACCGTGTTTGAAAGATGGATGACTGCTTTAGATGTAGCTGTGACAATCTTGTTTCCCATTGAACAGAAACTCTGCAATCGTGTCTTCTCGGGGTTTTCCTCTGCAGCTTTTAGTTGTTTCTCTGAGGTTTGCCACGAAGCAACGTCTCAGCTGCTGGGTTTTGCAGTTGCAGATGGGAACCCTACGATATGGCGTTTGTTCAAAATGCTTCGAATATTCGGGCATTTGGATAAGCATATTCCGAAATTTCAATCTCTTTTTCCAGATTCAACATTACTGAACGAAACAATTGCAGTTAGGAATAGACTAGGAGAAGCTAGCAAGGATCTTTTCATTGAAATGCATAATGTTATTATCAGAATCCCAACTGCACACGAAACTGTTCTGTCTCGTGGCCTTATTCATCCAATTACTTTTCAGGTCATGAGCTACGTATCTCTTGCTTGCAAGTCACGAAAAAAGTTGGAACAAATTTTACAAGCCTACCGCAAGGTCGATAATGAAGTGGAAGCATCATCTTTTTTCTTGAAGCAGATGGAACAGATAATGGAGATGTTACCTAGAAAATTGATAGCCAAGTTGAAAAATTTCAAGGACCCTGCTTTGTGCCATATTTTCATGGTAAATAATAGGAGCCACATAGAAGCTATGAATCAATCCTCAGAATTAGAAACTATTTTTGGCAATGATTGGTTCCAAAAAAACAAAGCAAAAATTCGACAAAACATTGAACTTTATAAAAGAATTTCATGGAATAGGGTGTTGGACTTTTTAAAGCTGGACAACAATGACAACATTACAGAAGAATTATTGAAAGAGAAGATCCATTTGTTCAACACTCACTTTGAAGAGGTATGCAAAGTTCAATCTGATTGGTTTGTTTTTGACAATAAGCTAAGAGAAGAAATTATATCATCTGTGGAAAATATCTTGCTTCCGGCATATGGAATCTTCATTGGGAGGCTTCAGGATATGCTTGGTAACCAAGCTTATAAGTACATTAAATATGGAATATTTGAGATTCAAGATCGACTCAATCAGTTGTTCCGAAAAATGCAAATATATGAATATAAATCAGAATACATATATAAAACACTTAATTATCTTTTGATACGGTAATACGAACGGGGCGGAATGGAGCGGAACATAGTGGAGTATAGTGGAGCGGAATGAAATAAAGATACCATTCCATTGTTTGGGCATTTCACGACGGAAGGTAGCAATTTTATCATTTTGCTAAAATTGAAGGATACAAAAAGTGATGGAATGGAATGGAATGCATTCGATCAGATTCCGCTCCATTCCATCCATTTTTAACTAATCCAAACTATGGAATTTAAACTTATTCCATTCCATTCTTAGTGTGTTTTAATATTATTTTGCTTTTACGATTTTAGATTGACTTGTTGTTTCAGTTCCTTTGGGAGTATATCTTTTGTATTATGTAATAAAGCAATTTCCATTTGTGTTTTTCTGTACAAACATAAAACTGACATCACAATATAATCCAAGTCTTCCAACTATAGTTGTGCAGAACTTTTGCTCTCTGTTTATGGATCACACCATCTGCTAAAAGTTCCCCTAATTCACTATATTTGATATTCTGAATCTTAATCCTGCATTCCTTAGCAACATAATGTATTTTACGAAAACAAAGAAACAAACTTCAAACACGTCGAGGATTTCAAATAACCCCTATGGTGAACGGCTTCCATTCCCCGTAGCATCACCAAAATTCAGCAAATGAATGGTGCTTCCCCTACAATCATCTGTAAGGGAGAGATCAGTGTCAACAAATAAACCGGGGATAGAAAGATCAGAGAGTTGCCAATGGTTGGAAAACAATATTTCGCAACAATGCAGCAGTAGGATGCAGCATTCACAAATCATCGCAGAAGCCTGAAGTTTGGAGATATGCGCTCCTACATTCTGACTGATCTAGATCTCTTCCGCTATAATCAAAATGGGAGGAAGATCCTCGTGAGTGAAGATGAGGATCAGCACAACAATGTCGGTTGTAGAACGGCGTTGCGATGAGCAGCCGATCGAATTGATTTGGAAGCTACCATTGTTGATTGAGAAAATTAGTGGTGATCCAATCGGTTAACAAGAACAGTTGTGGCGGCACAACGAAGGAGATAAGAAGAGATCAAGGTGGATTTTCGTTATAGCCAATAAACGATTCTCACATACAGCATCACTATTCCGATGAGGAGATATGTTGATGGATGAAGGTTGTCGTAGAAGCTCTTCAACACGGTGTTAAGACTCTCTGGTAGATTGAGAAGGGGGTGTACTATCAAGGTTATTACTCCAATGCCCAAGTCAGGGAGGTCAAAAAGATGTAACTTGCAAGAATGAATGAATCTTACTTGAGTATGGCGCCAAATCACGCTTACATACAATCAAAGGTTAAAACCACCTTCAATGAGCATGGTGTGGAATGCGAGAGACAGTTGGATTAAGTCCAAGGGCTGCGATGGGTACAACTACAATGGGTGGTTCAGTGCACGGTTCCTGGATCAGTGTCAGTGGTCGAGACTCTAGATTGGGCTTTCGAACTGAGTCGGTCTGGTTGAACTCTTTGACCTGTCTGAAACAAATTCCAATATCAGATACACATTATAAGAATTAATTTCAGTATCATTAAATTAATAACTTAACTATTTAATCTTTAATATAACAATTCAATATTTAGTATAAAGTTATAGATAAATTAATAACGATCAAAAATTTTAAATAAACTCCCATAACCATGTAATAAGTCAGAAGTGCATACCTACTAGTTGTTAACTCAGTAAATAAAATGAGGAGATGACATCAACAGACACTTTAATATTAGCAGAAACCTGGAAGAACACCAGAGTGATTGTGAGTTGTAACCTTACCTTCCTAAATTGATCGAATTAGTCAAGTCAAAACCATTAATTAGGACTCTGGTACCGTTCCACAAAATTTCATCTGAAATAACACAATAACTTCTCATCCGATTCTACATATCGTTGATCAAAGCGCATCCATA